TCTATTATCTATTAACCTTATAAAAATATACATTTTTTAAGACAAAAAACATTGAATTTTGCGTAAAAAAAACTAATAGATTTGTGTGACCGTGTATATATCTTATTGATTTGTTTGTTTGATGGATATTTGGTTTTCTTTTGCTCTTACAGATCTAAAGACAATAGCAGATCGACATACATGAAGAAAAATCTGGATTCTACTAATTTTCTCTTAGATTTTCAAGTTGATGATCAAATCTACTAAGATATATTTTTATTTCTCAAGTTTTTATTTATTTTTTATTGTTAACATGTTAAGTGTTATAGTATATGTTTTTTTTCTTTTCGTTTTTAGTTCATGGAGCAGATCTTAATATAAACACTTTTGAGTTTATTTCGAAGTTGGTAGTCTATTTCACTGGTAGTTTGTTTGGAACAATAAAACCGATGTAAGAAGTTTATATTGTTTTGGAGTGTATATATCTTTGTATTAGTTTATTATATTTTATTGGTTTCAAATTGTAATATTTATAACCAAATGCAACTTTTATTTAAAAAAACTTACAAAGTCTCTCGTGTGATTGATGCTAAGTTTTCATTTTAACTTGAAAAAACAAATATGAATGAAAAACAAACAATGAAGTGCTTAATGATATTAAGTTGTAAGTGATGTATCATTTGTTTTTCTATCGTATAATCTTAGCTTTATATTTGTTATATTGACATCCCATGAGACGCCAATCCTAAGGGATGCAACTGATGTATTTATTTTTAATTTTGTATTGTAATATTTACTAAATGGCAATCAGTTAAAAATCATAAAACTTATTAAATTTGTTATCTTATATTTTAAATGTTTTACCACTTGTAGTTTATGTTTTATCTTTTTACCGTTTTATAATTAGATATGGTTGATTATATGAATGAAAATAAAAAGAAGAAAAATATATGGTTGCATATTATCAGAAACGATAGAAAAAAATATGGACATAAAAAAAGTTTGATACTTTGAAGATAAATATAGAACACAAAATCATCTTCATGGTAATTCCCTTAACTAATCTATAGATATATAGTTTGTAGTTTTGTTCTTTGTGAAATGTGAAACGTCCGTAAAAAAACTTGTGTTATGTTGCTAGCTGTCAAATGAATAGGAAGTAAAAAGTAATCACAATATACATGCATGTCCACTTTCTTGATTTTCAAAAACCGCCAAAAAGATTTGATCTTATTAAGATTAGTGAAAATCAGTCTTGCTTTAAAAAGCATTTTTCTAAACAAAAACACGCCACTTCTTGATTATGTTATCTACGGTTTATTTATATCATCTATACTTCTATATTATTTGTATAGTAGTTCTGTAATTACCACTAGCTATATGCTAACTTAAATGCATATTTAAAAACTTACTTTATATGTCTAATAGATAATATCATAAGATAAAATTTTAATTTATTCTAAATAAAAACACTCAAAATATTAACAGGTCAATAACTGCAAAAACATAATAGGTTTGGATTTCTAGAAAGAATAAAACAATTAAAAAGTGGAAAAGTTTTATTATATGTTGAGTTTTAAGAGGAGTATAAGCTTTATTTTTTATGTTATTTATTAAGTATATTTTATGTTACTATATGTAATAGTTTTATTGTTATTTTATATTCATCTATTTGTATGAATTTTGTTAATTTTAAAAGTATATATTCTTTTAAAAATACGAATAGACTTCATCTTCTTATTTGAATTTTTATTTGAAGTTATTATGTTTCACTATTTTATATATAAATGTTATTATTGCATAACAAGTTATATTAGTTTTACTTCTATATTAATAAAATAATATTAAAATTAATTACAAAAATAACAGAAAATAGAACTTAGTATTCAACATACTATACAAAGATAACAATTTTATTTTTATTTAACTTTTGGTGTTAATGTATGAAATAGATGTAGTATTCAACATATTATACATAAAAAAAATAATTTGACTTTTGGTGTTTTTTGGAACGATAGTATGTTTCCGCGGAAGTCCCTTCGTATATTCCAAAGAAAACCCCGAGATCGAATCATCCATTAGGACAGAGATGACACCATATGGATCCTAAACGAACTTTTGATTTTAATTCAAAATAGCAACACATTTTTATTTTTAAACTAAAAATAGAATGTCAAATACAAAATTTTCCATTTAAAGATAATAATTTGTTGTCCCTAAAACGAAACAAATCAACGTATCCCTCCCTCGACCCTAAAAAAAATTAATTGTTGACACTAAACTATTCGTCAAAAGATAAAACTAATCACCGCCACTATATTCCACACCCATAACTATATTAGATCGTTGAATTTTCAAAACAGGTTGTATTTGCGATATTCTTTTTGTTTCATTTCACTTTTTGCAAACCATGTTGCTATTTCTAGCTAGAAACTATTCGTCGAAAGAAAACTATCTAACACAAAACATTCTCCAAAAGACTGAATGACACGAAACACAAACTAATGATTGCATGGAAACTATCTGCCGAAAGTAACTATTTGGCGTCGCCGCATCGCTCGGGTACCACACTAGTATATATATATATATATATATATATATATATATATATATATATATATATATATATATAATAAATACATATTTATACTTAGTAATATGTATAAATACATATAATTATGGAGCTGTTTGATAGGGTCTGAATTTTTAAGATCTGAATTTTTAATAGGTCTGAATTTCTAAGAGGGTCTGAATTTTTAAGATCTGAATTTATAACATACTGTTTGGTTGGAACATTTGAATAAATCTAAATTGCTATGCTGAATGATAAAAATGACCATTTTACCCTTCTGTAGAACTTTTGTTATTTCAATGTTTTTGTTGTAAAAATAATTGAACAAACTTTTTGAATAATTATAAAGATATATATATATATATATATATATATATATATATATATATATATATATATATATATATATATAAACACAATGCATAATCCAAATAAAAAAAATATTTTAAAAGCCACCAAATAATACTAAAATTCCAATAAAATCCAAACATAAATATTTTCAAACATGACAAAAAAAACTATTCCCATTTGTTCTTTCTAAATTTAATTGAACCATATCCTTCCGTTTTGATGCCTTTCCTATTTTGGATTTCTTCATGTGTGAGATTTGTTGCATAGATCAACATCAATCTTTAAAGCAATCCTATAGCCTTTTACAACACGAATTAGATGAATGTCAGGTTCCAACCATACTGAACAACTACAATTGATAAAAGCCATATCCATGTTACATCGTGTAAAACAAAAGACCAATAAATCAAACCCTAATAAACAATTACAAGTAAAAGAATTCATGAAAAAATTACAGAAATCACTCCATCGTCTTCTCCCCTGCAACTCTAATCCATGTAAATATTAGATCACAATTTCATAATTTTAGCATATAAAAAGACAATGTCATAATTTTAGCATATAAAAAGACAATTTCAGCAGATTTAAAGGAGATAAACAAACAATTTCAGCAGATGTAAAGGAGATAAACAAACAATTTCAGCAAGAAATATTGCCAACAACATCGTTACTATCAACATATCCTACCAACCTTACAACCAATTCCAATCTACAACCATGTTGCATGTTATGATCCTCCATTGATAAAAAGTTGTTGATGCCATGGAATACCTTCTTTCTGCTGGAATTTTATATCTAGTCCAAATAATAATGGACTTCCAAGCATCACACTTTTCATTGGATTCAATTCCTGGAGCTGAAACCAGATATTCAAAAAAAAAATAGCAAGAGAAGGAGAGAGCAATTGATTTCAAAAATTCAAAGCAATTGATAACTATACACATCTGATTTCAGTTAAAAGAAAAGAGTAGCACAACTTGATTTTAGAAAAAATAGTAAGAGAAGAAGGGAACAATTGATTTCAGAATTTCAAGGCAATTGATAACTGTACACACCTGATTTTAGTTAAAAGAAAAAGAAAAAATGAAGCAAACATCTGATTACATAGTAAAAGATATTACATAGCCAGAGAAAGAGAGAAACCGAAAAATTTACCTGCAAAAGTCATCGGAAGTTTAGGCAATGTCGTTGTAGAGCAGGTATCGGAGAGGATGCCGAAAATGAAACTGGAGGTGGCAAAGTGGCGGAGTTGTTGAAATCAATTCTAGAGGGAGGGAGCAGACGATTGTAGATAAGAGAGGTTAAAGAAGGGGTGGGATGGAGGAGAAGGAGTAATCTTGTCGGCGCCAAGCGTTGGAAGTCGTGGTGGGATTCGATTTCAAGGAGCTTAACGACGGAGGAGGTGATTGGCGCTCGACATCGTCACAGGTAAGAGGAGAGTCTGAAGACATAAGAGACGATCTGAAGGGGGTGTGTTGTTTTGGAGGCGGGCATATCAGTGAGGGTAAAATAGGGAATGATGTGTGCTTTTTATTTTTCAGATACAAGCCCAAGTGTAAAAGTTTAAGAGGCTTCTTAAAGTTTAAGAGGCTTTATTCATAGCCTACCAAACACTCTTAATCTGAATAATTAAGAGTTTGTCTCTTAATTTGTCAATTAAGAGGCTACCAAACAGCCCCTATATCTTTTATACAATATAAACCTTATAAATAGATATTTTTTTATATTTATATGTATACATTATATTTTTATACGAAATACATATATATTTATACATATTAAATACAAATAAATATATTTTTAATATATAAATACACCTACATTGGTTTTCAAATGTATATAAATACTAAATAGAAGTAAATATATTTTTAAATACTAAATACAAGAAAATATATTTTTAAATATATAAAAATATTTTTGTACAATTTATTTAACATATAATAATAATAATAATAATAATAATAATAATAATAATAATAATAATAATAATAAATCTGAATATTTTTAAAATTTTAAAAGAATACAAAATTTTTAAAAAATTCAAGGGTTTCCTGGTATAATAGATTACCTGAAAACCTGTTAAAATGATATAAATATCCGACAAGGGGCTTTTGTGTCATTTGCCCTAAAAATCATATATTCCGACTTTTATGATGTAAGAAGTAAGACATGACATCCCAGCCACCACCGTCTCCTCTTCTCCATCTCTCACGTATCGATCGCTTCCTCCTTTACTGATCCATCTTCTTCATCCATCATCTCCTTTGCTGCTGCCGTTTTCTGTTGATCTCATCATCTTCTTCTCGATCCTCTTCTGTGACTTTTGTCCTTGATGAATGCGGAATTTTCAACAATCAGTTGAATATCTGCTGTAGATGCTTCCCCTGTCTCCTTTCACCACTAAGTAAGTAATTTCTGCTCCATATTATACGATCCCTCATGTTTGTGCTTTAATTTTTAACCACAAGCCGAATAGATACTAGAAATTGAATATTTTTCTTTGCCCTTCCAAAAATTTAGCTTACTTAATAAGCAGAATAATCCATCTTAACCAAGTAGAAGAACAAGGGGCGCTAACTGACTGTGACTAATTTGAAACTTTTATCTAGAAAAAATTGATAGTATCTCCTCTCTTATACTTATACGATCCTTGCTTGGCTGATCGTATGCTTCTTCAGGGTAATGGCGGATAAGAACAGAAGTGTCTGTTTACCTAATTCAGATGATCCTTTTGGTAAACTCCCTGATCATCTACTCGTTGAAATCTTTAACCGAGTTCCCATCATAGACTGGGGAGTAGTATCTTGTGTATCAAGGCAATGGGCTCATCTCTTTCAAGAAGAATGCCTGTGGCATGCTGCTCTTATCAGAAGTTTTCCTTTACTTTCCCAGGCTAAAAGGTGGCCTGGTCCAATTCCTCAAGGATCAAGCAAAAGGTACATGCCATAACCAAGTTCTTATAGTTGTCAGAAACAGAATTATTATGAACAATATGGATTCTTTACTATACATCTTCAACAACAAGTCAACAACCCTACTTTCTCAGGAGGTATGCTGCATTATATGTGAGCAAACATTTATTTTCACTGGATGGTGAAATGGATGAGCTTGTAGGTCATACTTATCTGTACCTGAAAGATCAACTTGAGATTACAAAAATGCCTTGTTCATCTGGAATACTTCATGGAACCATAATAGGTGAGCTTGCATTTTCTTTTGTATTTCTTCCTGCATCACTTTATTAATTGCTGACTTACTTGATGAATTAATTTATACCAAATTTACCCCTCAGATTAAAAATTATTGACCAGTGTCTTTTCGTATATTACAAAATTGTTTCTTTAGATCAATTTATAGCTTGTGGCATGTCAAAGGAGAAGGCTCATGACCTTGCTTCTAAAATTTGGTTGGCAGTCATTGAAAATTTAGAAGAAAGTGAGAAAACATTTCTCTTGCTCAAGCGCCTTGCGCTCGAGGGAGATGTAAGTCGTCTTCTCAACATATCTTTCACATTATAACCTGATTCTGTTCTGTTCTGTCCTGTCCTGTCAGTTCATGTCATACCCTGTCTTATCCAGATGGGGCAGTCATGATGGAGAAGGTTTTAATTAGATTGAAGTTGCAAGTTATGGATATGATTATGTTGATGTTGGTTGTATCTACAGGCATTTCTTCCATTCCCATATTCAAGATCATATGAAGTCCTGTGGAAGGTGTTTGAGAAGCTGTTTACGGATTTCAGGGATTGTTTTAGCCGAATGGAGGAATATTATGATGTGCTTGGTTGTGCAAAGCAGAAGTTTCAGCCCATACCACCCACCTGGTTGGGGTATTAGTGTGTCAATGTTGATGATATCATATGTTGTAATGTATGAATAGGTAAAGAAGAATTAAGTTTTCATGGTGTAAATAGAGTTGCAAGTTGTGTATGAATTTATGTGTAATGTAATATATTTTTCTTAATTTAACTCGAAATTGAGTGGTTAATCCTTTTATTATTGTATATAATTCTTGATAATTTGGTGATCATCTGATGGGAAGGTCACCTTTGACAAAAATATAAAACATGTTTAATTATGACACGGGGCTTCTTCCATTATTGTTAGTCTAGTAATAATCTCAATAAAAGATGTATGTAAACATGAAATGTTTAGGGAGGCCCCAAGCGTGTTTGAGATTACTACTTCATTACTGATACTATTAATTAGTATTTTTTGAGTGTTAGATACATAAAATGTTTATTGAGCAATTTTGATAAGTCGGTTTATTCTAACTTATTTAAAGCCTTATAACTTATTTTAAAATGTTTAGTATATGTGGAAATCAATTTACTGTTTTCGATTGTTTTAATCCTAAGAAAACCTACATGGATTGCAACCTCATTTTCCTTTGTTTATCACCAACAACATACATGATGCATACCATTTTACCCTTTTACCATTGTATTTTTGGTCATTTTAAATATATAAACAAAATTTATCAATCACCGAATAACAATTTATCACTTATTAGGTTTTAGTAGCATATGAACTATTTCAAACATCTTTTTTAATATATTATAATACCAATTAAGCTAATTATGTAGTATAAAAAACATAAGTTTGGATCTGATCTGTATTGCATTCAAAAAATGTCAAAGATCAAATTGCAAAAATGATCATTGTGGTTGGTAAAATTCTATGATTTTGATCCAAAAAATTTTGATGTTGCACAAAAGGTTTAAAATCAGATCTTTTTATCAGTTTAAGTCCCTAACCACTTAAAAATATGATTATGCCCCTCTTATTTGTTTATTTATATTTTATTAATGTTAATGATTTTTAGTAATTAAAAATTCTTGAATATCCCATTATTCCTCTGTCACTCTCTCTCACTCAGACACATATACTCTCTCTCTCTCTCTCTCTCTCTCTCATCTCTTCTACCCCTCTTACATCTCTTTCACTCTCTCAAGAACACCCCGACTGCCACCACCATTCACCAACACCGTCCGCCACCAGATGCCACCCGAAAACCTTCAGACACCACCAATTTGTTTGTACATTGGGGAAGGAGCGACCAATTGGATCAACAGAGACGATGGAGGAATTTAAACCCAAATCAAACCACCCAATGGACATGAATCCTTTAGCGGTGGGAGAACGGCTAAAGAATAGGATAACAAACTAGGCCAAGACCTACCTTCAAACTTCGACGACCACTTTAGATCTAGATGTAGGTTCTTCTGTTGATCTAAAATTGCATTTCCTTATCAACCCTAATCCTGGTTAAATATATCGATGAATGGTGGTGAACAGTTTATGGCCGACAGATGAGTCAAAGTCATGTTTGAACCTATCGATGATTTGAAGTGGGGGTCATAGATGCATATACAACTCCTCTTTAACACATAAATACACAAACGAACAATCGATTTTTTGGGTTGTCTCTTCAAGCAATCGAATTTCTGGGTTTGTTTCTAGAACTAGAAATCAATTTCGAAATCTAAAAAAGCTTATAGGTAATGGGTTTTCAAGAATAATCAATTTCAAAAAAATTAAATTTTGTCCGTGGATTTCAAATCATTTCTATGTTTATGGATTGATTTAGAAGAATGGTGGAGAAATGAACAACTTTGGTTGGTCGAAGGTACCAAAGTTCATTTGGCTGCTGTTCTTTAAGGACTTCCGAAAGTGGTTGCCGGAACTTAAACTGCGTTCACATTGATGTCAAAATTCGATGAAGATGAAGAGTTTTCATATCTGTATACTATGAAATGGATGTGTGTTCTTCAGTTTTGGGTTATGACACAACTATACCCATCTGTAAAAGGGTTGATGGGAAGAGATGGAGAACACAAACAATTGTATTTGTGTGGTATGGTGGTACAGAGAGAGAGAGAGAGTAAGTAAGTGAGTTGTGTTTTTTCTTTTTCTTTTTAATTGAAATAATAAGAAATTAACTACAAAAATTAAAAAAAGAATCATATAAGGGAATATTCATCATTTTAAGTTAAGTATGGACCAAAAACACACAAGAATATCAATTATAGGGACCAAAACTACAAAATATATTTAAAATTAGACCACTAATATACCATCAAAACTTTTTAGACTAAAAACACATATTTTTGCCAACGATAGGGACCATTTTTGCAATTTTATCAATGTCAAAACTTAAAGAACAAATTACTGAAATCGTCCATGTGGTTTGGTCAAATTTACGAGTTTGTTCCCTAACTTTTTTTTGGTACTCGGACCGTCCTTACAGTATGATTTCATTTTTAGTCTCCGCCACATTTGAAAAGACTGTATTACCCTTTGTTTTTTATTTTTCAGTTTTTTATTATTTATTATATTAAAAAATATTAAAACATGTTGGACCCACCTGAACTCTTTTATCTCCTCAACGTTACCCTATATCTCATCCTTCCCTTCGACTGAAACTTATCTTCGTCTTCCTTATTCTTCTCTATAACATGCACTGTCTTTGGATCCCTAAATCTAACACCACCATTCCATCATCTGGGATAAACCAAACACAGGAAGCACCTCCCTTCGTTGAATCTAAATCGCTTCACCACCATCGCCTTGGCGACTGTTTCCTTCCACCATCGTAGGTGGAGCGCTGTGCCGAAAAATGAGACAATCAGACCTGTCAATCCTTGATAGTAGTTTCCTTCCACCACCACCACCACCGTCTCCTTCTCTGCAACCCCGACTACCATTATCTCCATAAAAAATCTTTGAAAATTGGATCGCCAAATCAAAAATCGCAAAGAGTGTCGTTCCCCTTTAACACTATTTCTTCTGAAAATCATCTTTGATTTTGGGATTACATCAAAATTTTCTATCATCTCCGATTTCAGATTATGTTTTGGGTTTTGATTTCCAGATTTGGTTTTGATTTCGGGATTTGATCTTGGTCTGGTTTTGATTTCCGAGATTTGATCTTGGGGTGTTGCCTGATGAAATCGATGATATGGGAGGTGGTGTTTCCGGAATAGATGGATAGTAGTGGTGTCAGAATAGGTGGGCGGTGTTGCCGATGGAAGTAGCAATATGAGTGGGTCCCACATGTATATAAATCATTTTTATTAATTAGTAAATAATAAACAATTAATAAAAAATTGACAAATAAAAACCAAATGGTGATATAGTCTTTTTCAAATGTGGCAGGGACTAAAAACGAAATGAAATCATACTACAAGGACGGTCTAAATACAAAAAAAATTAGGAACCAAACTCGTAATTTTAACCAAACCACCGAGGCGATTTCCGTAATTTGTTGAACCATAAAAATAAAATAAAAAAGGAAACGGGGATTCGTCAATAGTACCACAAAGTCGCTCGCCCAATTACCTCTTCAATCAACCAAGCTAAGGGTTAGGGTTTCGCAGATTCGATCTATATTTCTCTCTGTGTGTGGAAATGGCGATGAGGAAATTTTTCAGCGAGATCAAGGGAATGAAAGTGAAAGACGTGCCGGCGCATGTGAAGCCGATGGTGACAACGAGCAACGCGAAAAATTTTATTCAGAGATCATTGGATAATTACCATGCCAAATACATCCTGACGGACTCGATCGCACCTCTCTACCATATCTGCTTTGGTGGCATGATCTTCTCTTACTTCGTCGCCCTTCCTGAGGAGCGACGCCACCTTGAACATCAGCAGCATGCCAAAGAGCACGGCGGCCACTGATTTGCTTATCCGATCGAGGTAAAATCCGTTAGTTTGGTCGATTTTTATTTTAATGTTATCGCGAATAAGATCTACCACACTTTTGAAATCGGTTAACATATGTGGACATGAACGATTAAAGGAAACTTCTGTTTGTTGTTGTCTTTTCTATGTGAATTTATATTGGGGAATGATAGTTGCGGATGCGTAGCAATGAGTCTAGATCACTTTACATTCTAACAAATGATGACTTTGATCCCCGTTTACATAGTATGTTGTAAAATTTGATTTTTATCTGATTCATGTCGATCAAGACCCTGATTGGCCATCATCAATTCATTGCCATGGATTGCCGTTTCATTCTGTCCTTGTGGAAATTAGTGACAGATAACATTTGGTGTTTGTTTGTATGTTCCTTATCATACATCCTAGGGTAGGCTTTTGAAGCATGCGCATTTCCTCCCAGATGTAATATGGGAAGATCAATAGTTCTATATAGGATACTAATAGAATAGAAGGAGATGCTTGAAATAACCCCAAGGAGATTTAGATACAATACCTGTGAAAGATGACTAGTTACATTATATGTGTTGTCTTAATGTGGTGATTAATTTAAATGTGGTGATACAATACCTGTGAAAGATGACTAGTTACATTATAACCTTAATAAGATTATAGCATATTCTTCCTGGGATAACACATATTACTGGAGGAGGGGACCAAAATAAGCCTGGAGGACAAAAGAGTAGAATTAATATAAATATATAATCGAGGTTGTACTGGCATTTATGGTGTTTGACTGTTTGTATTTACAGTTGATTTTGAGTAATTGCTGCTAACTTATAGGAAGTTCGTTTTGCACACTGGATGTGGTGTTGAACTTATTCCTGAATTGATATGTCATAAATACAAGTTTAAAAACCGGACAAATTTGCCCTTTAAGTGGAGAGATTTGAATGTCACAAATTATGAAACTTGGGATTAACTGAAGAATTATAAAATTAAATATACATGTTATGCTTTTGTAGAGTAGGTGAAGCAACAGGTTTTTGTTGTTTGATGTACAACTGATATGAGAATGCCAAATAAGTAAAAAAAACATGAATAGATTTAAGCTTGAGCATGTGTTTTTTTAGTATATAGTTTATTCATTGTATAGTTATTTTGTTGGATTAGGCTTTGTGTGTATATGTAATGTATGCATTCATACATATTGTAACACCCCATCCACATTCATCTTCAGTATCTTGCAACCTGTATACAAACTAGAAAGTTCTATAGCTCAGATTATCTTTCGTTACATCATCGTGGTTTGATACAACAATATTACATAACCGGAGAGACGTATAATACTATCTCTTGACAACTTATAATACAACAAACAATTAAAATCGTTACCACTTCCTGTGGTTCCTACTCCTTTTTAGAGATGCATCTTTTTTTTTTTTTTTTAACAAGTTGAATTTTCTTAAACCAAAATTAGCAAGGAGCTAGCCAGAATATAACATTCAAAATTCAAAGAATCAAGCGATGGAGTTTGAGTCTTCTGGCCCAACTGGACTAAAGTTCTACTTCTAGCCGAAATCCATAAGTAAAGTTCCTTCATTGGCTCCTTCTTAAAAAGTAATTTTGTTTCAAAACATTTAAGTCATTCATAAGGTAGTCGCTGGTCATAACCACAATATCCAAATATTTTCCATTCCTTACATTCTCTGAGGTGTCTTCACTATGTTGGACAAGGATTGTTGATTTAAAGGAACTTGGATTACACTATTTTTTATTCCTTACACTCCCACCCCCACATAACACGAAGCAACCTTTCCAAATCATACAATCATAGAAACCATGTAGCCAACTTATGATCAACCTTGTGTGTCATGCCTATACACCGTTACTTACATTTTGTCATAAAAGAAGCCATATCCAAAATTATGATCAACTGAACCATTAATGTTTTTAACCAAATACACTCATGGAGCCTTCCAGAAAAATGTACTGACCCAGTGACCCATTTTTTCAAGATCATTCAAAACCCTAGTTGGAGATCTAAACATTGTTAGAAGATACTAACCGAACTTCCAAACATGGGTTTAACCAAAGTTGATCTACTTCCCATCAACAAAGTATTTTACCTTTTAGTTCAAGTGTTCAACCATTTCTTTTCAAACTTTTCATAAGTTGTACACGAAATAACTTTCTATATACACATGTATGGAAAATATAACCTTTAAGCTTTGTGAATAGTTATGGTTCTATAATGTAGCATTTTTCCTAAACATCTTATCGAATTTGGTGCAAGAATAACTGTTAACGTCTTACATGAACTTATAGTAACCCGTGGTCAATTTACAGCTGTTTTATAAGTATATATCATGTCCGACTTCCAATACCAAGTGTCCTAACATCATTTTAATATGCAATAAAACATATATTTTTGCTATATAATCGTAATATCATTTTGTGTAAAGCAAAACTCGACTTGCTTTAAGCCTGATTTAGAACTCATTAGCTTCTTCTAGATCTTGTTGAAATGCAGGGCTACTAGCTTTATCACCAAAGTTTGATACCACATGCTCATGCCATATGCCTCTAGTCTTACAACTCATGTTTAGGCTCTGATTTATCATGTTTGTGATGCTTAATGACAATATTTTTTTATTAGATAACAATTTTTACCATATTCTTTAGCCCTCATGTGGACCCTACTAGTGTGCATAACCTTGTTTAGTATAAAACAAGATATCTGTTTAATCATCCTCGAGCCCATAAATGGAATCATAAATTAGAGACGGACTTATAGGAACGGATAAAGAGACATAGATGCACACACACACATACTATAAGTAGGGTGTAGGCCTTAAATTTGATATTTTGACTTTTATTTATCTTTTGTGCTGTATATAGTAATGATAATGATGTTTAATCGGGTAGGTTGGTTGGTTTCTGTTTAAAGTAAAAGGGCGTAAAGTCCCAAAAAGTTAACCACATACAAAAACCGAGGTGCATCCCCCAATGAAAGGCGATAAGATAACCCTCAATCTCATCCAAGTTGATGGAAAGCTGTTTATAACCTAATCAAAGTTTCAACTATCACCTTTCACAAAAGCTTCCACTCCGCAGTGTGAGCACTTTAGAACAGGAAGGAAGCTTTTAGGCAATGTCATGGAACATGTGAAAAGTATCTTACAATTAAGAATAGTTTGAAGCTGTGTAGAAACAATTTGTATATCAATCAATATGTTTCACTTTCTGTCCGGTAATGAAATTAAAAAAAAAAAAAAAAAGAATGATGAGGAGCGTGAATGTGTGTGATAAGTAGTCCTGTATAAATACGTCCTACTACCCTTGTATGTTAAGTATGATGATTACTCGGCCTGGCCTTTATTTAATTGTGTATTTTTGGTAGTGGGAAATTCTCTTTTCCATGCTTTTAGAATACAATAATAATTATACCCCATAGGACATAATAATTTTATTGGATATCTAATAATCTGTTTTCTGGCCTGCTACTCAATTATCTCACTCACTCACGTATAACCAACCTTCTTACTAGTACTACATACACATCTTACTATTTTAATCTTAAAATTTCATTATTTTGTTTTTGGCAGTGGCGCTCGGTTTTGGGAGTATCAGAATAATTGAAGTCCCCTCCGCTTTTTCCGTCGTTTCTTGTTTGGTTCTCAAAGGTGGAGGATGATTACAAGAAACTGCCCCAAAATAAACAATTATCTTTTTTATTTTTTGGTTGCGCGAGGAAAACACACATGATTCATTAAACCTCTCTCTGTCTGTCTGTTGTTGATGGTATTGCTTGCTTTATTATATCCAGAATCTTGTGTTCACACTTTCCAATGCGCGTGAGTGGAGCCATTTGAGACGTATTCAAAAACGGCAAAATCAAAAGAAATAAAATATGTTTACTTAATAATACAAAACCGATTACAAGAAAAAAAAAAAAAAAAAAAAGATGTTTTCTACATTATAGTGATCAGAGGTCTTCTTGGGGATCATGATGGGAAGAAAAGGTGTCCTTGAGTTTTTGTGCGGCGGTTTTGGCAGTTTCCTCAACGGTTGCTTTCCCTTCGCCTAGGCTCTTGGTGACAGCCTCTTTAAACTTGTCCCCAGCGCCGCCTTCTGTTTCACTTGCACCGGTCACTCTGGGTTCATCTTTGCTTACACTAACGCTTCCTCTGAAACTAGAACAATTCGTAAAAATTCAATGTTAGCTGTTTGTTTTTAGATTTTCCCCACAAATGAATAATAAAAAAATAAAATAAAAGGGAATAACTTACTCCAGGTTGGGAGGAAATAGGTAGGACTGGATATTTGTGAGAAGAGTCTTAATTTTCATATGAAGAGGAAGAGGTTGTTGTTGCTGCTGTTCTTGAATGGAGTCTGATGTAAAAAGGAAGAACATGAGTAACGAGAGAAGCAAGACGATGAAAGAAGTCTTCATTCTCATGTTGGCAACGGCGGTTTGATTTTGAGATATGAACCGGATGTGGGTGGGTTCTTGTGTTTTATTAGCCTTTCGCGGATGGCGGTGGGGGGTAAGTCGACACTCACGTGGCGTTTTAAGCGGTGCTTCTAATTCTAATAAAATAATTAATATTTTAAAATCAAGACTATATTTTCTAGATAAACGTTACGTTGCATTTGTATTTTTTATTTTTTATTTCCTTTTCTTTTAAGATATACACGACATATTTGATCTTATAGTTTCAGTTGGATTTAATATGTTAACGTTATTAGAGTTGGCAGTATTTGTGTAAGTATGTCGACAAATAAATATATGGTGATGGCCATGATGTTTCTTCAACCGTCAATTCAAAACTAATTTCAAGAATGACGTATCAAAACTTAAATGTGTGGATTTGCTTCATTTGTCAACTTCCACAACAAACAAGTACATGTCTACGATTTTTCTACATTTTTACCATTACACTTGGCCTACTTCAATTTATTGATGAGGGGAGTTCATTGGGTTTTCCATTGTATATTAGTATTACATATATACTATATGTTGTGGTGAAAAGTAAATGTAAAAAAACAAATTGGGGAATGATGAATTGAATGGACATGAATGTATAGGTAATAATATTAGGTGGTAATATTTCCTTATCAATTTCTGTTGAGCACAGCACAGCCCCCACCAAATCACCAACTCCTCTATCCTCCGTTTCATCATCATCGTCTCATTCAACTTATACATACATACCTCATACCTTCACCTTGTATTTATTACCTTACTTTCATTTTAATTCAAATGTTGCTTATAGTACTATCAAACTCATCAACCAACATAATTGGGCATTTTCGAGCACCTCCATGTGGTGTTCTTCATTATTTATGTAGCTCAATTGCTTTGTGTCACAATATTTAATACTTATGGAGAGTCTTGCCGTACATAACTAATACGACAAAAAGTAAAAATGACAAAAACCAATAGCATACATATACAAGTAACACATCATGCCTAATGACTCTTTTGTTTGGGAGTGAGAGTAGTTTTTGGCATTTTTCAGAATTAGTGTCATCCAGACCAGATGTTTGCTTGTTGTTTATGTTTCATTAATTACACAACCACTTTATTTTAAAAAACAATAAATTGTTGAGACTTCAGTTGTTTGAGTCGGGTCGACCCACCACAGGCCACACCACACTTCTCCCCTAAACAAGTATACGCAAAGATGGGAAGAGGATTTCCATCCATCATTGTCTTTTGTTTCCACCTTTTTTTTTATTTTTTTATTTAAATATTTTTGGAGGGTTTTTTCTTCATCTAATAATTTATTATTAATTACAATATAGTGATCTACATATTACCCCCACCTCTCTCTCTCTCTCTCTCTCTCCTAGTTGTATGTATATCAGGTAGTACTGTACTGGCCACTTCGATTTTTTTATATATTTTTATCTCGTGTGTGTGTGTTTGAGGGTATTTGGGGGCGAAGAGACAACCCACCAATTGTTGCTGCTCTCTCACGACTGAGAGGAAAAGAGAAAAGATTAGATTTTTTTCATACCGATATCATATGTCGATGGGATCACATCAACACCCCTTGATTCTTAACTGCTCGCTACTCATCTGCCTCTTCTTCTGACCCCTATTGTTCACTACATGTTCCCCTATCCCCTTCAGATTTGATTTCTTCACTTCAGACCCAGGTACCCTCTTCACCCTTCACCCCTCACCCTATTTTGATTTTACTCAATTCTGTTGTTTCGGATGAAAATGGCGACATGG